TTTTAGAATTGGATTGGTGTTTTTAGAATTCCTCCCCTTGCTTATACCCCGGCTAAACCTCTACCACCACCACTCTCCCCAGGCCTCAGTTTCTCTCTTCTGGCTTCCTGGCCCTCCCCACCCCAACTCAAGGCCCTGGAAACACGTGCTGTGATTTAACCACAGCGGTCCTTGCATGGCCTGAGCCTGACTCAGGCTCCCCACTGCCAGGCTGAAGTCCAGACTTCTCATCACAGCTCCAGGGCACCGCCCTACTTGGCAACACCTTCCCCCCTCCTCACACCTGAGCCACACTGGGTAGAATTACTTTCAGTTCCCAAACACAAGACCCTGTCTTGTATACACAGTTCCCCCTGCCCTGAACACTTCTCTACTCTGGCAAGATGGAGCTAACCCTCTAAGAGGCCAGCTCAGGCAAGCTTTCCCAGTCCTGGGTTTCCCTGGGCCTCTGCAGCAATTGCCCTGGGTGGTCTGGGTGCGTCTATTCCTGTCTGCTCCCAACCAGCCTGAAAGCCCTTCAAGGGAGGGGAGAACCAGGTCTGAGATACCTATGACCTCAGGGCCCAGAACAGATAGTAAGGTGAGTTTGTTGATTAAATAAGTAACCCATGTGCCCCAGATAAGACTTAGAGGAGAGGGCACAGGCCTGGAGTTGGGAGCAGGGGGCTTAAAGAAATCATTTACTCTTCCTGGAGCCCTATCTGCAGATGGAGGCTTAATCTTATCGATTAAGATTATGCCAGTCTTCAAAGGGCATGTGTACCGTACAAGTGCAAGAGAGCTGACCATATACTCTTGTCTCATTCAAGGTCTCTGTCTGGGAAGTTCCTCCAGGCATCTGACCTGTACCCATCCATCTTGAAACAGACAAGCTGGTTTTGAGACTATGCTGCCTCCTACAGACACACAGTCTTCAGGGGATGGCCTGAGAACAGTCTTCTGTCCTACCAAGTCCTTAATTGGCAGTATTAGAGTAATGAGTCACAGACAACAAGCAATTAATTATCCTCAGTTATAAAAAGGTCTGCTTCCCTTCCTGGGAAGGGGTGGCCCCCTGCTGCCGGGCTTCTCCACTCCTCAGTGCTGGGGCAGGAGAAGAGGCCATTCACCTCTCTGGTCCTCAGTCTCCTGCTTTCTGGTCAAGTGTGTGTTCTCGGGGGAGGGAGAAGCGTGAGCCCAGGCCTGGAGGAGGTGAGGCTTCATCAGTCTGGCTGAGCAAGAAGGAGAGAGGCCAACATGGGTGGGGAGATGGTCCTTCCCAAGTGCTCCACACACCCTCCCCACTTCCCAGGACCCACCTCAGCATAGGAGGGGCTAGATCTCAACTAGGGAAACCCTGAGGGTGCTTAGGCTAGCATTCAAGGACACTCCTGGTTGCCCCAAATGCTACTGATCCAGTTCTTGTTCTCATCCATCAGGCAACTTCCCAAGTCCTCCTTCTGGGGTCTCCTTTCTTCTCCTTCCAGTAGGTTCTCATTAAAAAACACACATCCATGGCTCGGCACCCATAGCACAAAGGTTATGTGGCATCAGCCACATACACTGAGACTAGCAGGTCCAATCCCAGCCTGGGCGAGCTAAACAACAATGATAACTACAACAAAAAATAGCCGGACATTGTGGCAGGCGCTTGTAATCCCAGCTACTTGGGAGGCTGAGGCAAGAGAATCACTTAAGCCCAAGAGTTGGAGGTTGCTGTGAGCCTGTGACTCTATGGCACTCTACCAAGGGCAACATAGTGAGACTCTTTCTCAAAACAAAACAAAACAAAAAAACCACATACATCTTCAACAATTAGGCACAGTGGCTCACACCTATAATCCTAGGGCTTTGGGAGGCAGGGCAAGGAGAGGCAAGGAGGATGACTTGAGCCCAGGAGTTTGAGACCAGCCTGAGTAGCAGAGCGAGACCTCATCTCTACAAAAAACTTAAAAATGAGCCTAGTGTGGGGGCACATGCCTGTAGTCCCAGCTACTTGTAAGCCTAAGGCAGGAGGATCACTTGAGTACAGGAGTTTGAGGCTGCTGTGAGATACGATCACACCACTGCATTACTCCAGCCGAGGTGGAGTGAGACTCCATCTCTAAAATAAACAATAAAGGGGCGGCGCCTGTGGCTCAACAGGGTAGGGCACTGGCCCCATATGTCAGAGGTGGTGGGTTCAAACCCAGCCCCTGCCAAAAACAAACAAACAAACAAACAAAAACCACCTGAAACCATAAACATTCAGAAGAAAATAATAAAAAAAACTCTTTAAAATAAAATAATAAAAAAAATAAAATAAAATAAACAATAAAGATACACAACCTCAACACAGTTCTCTCCTCTAACTTTCAGTCCCCTGAGGCTCAAGCTGCAAATCCATCATTGACTTTGTGTGTGAGGGTTCTAAGGCCTTGATTTCTCCATCCACAGAACAGGTACACCATTAAACATGCCCCCGGGGTGTGATAACAAAGAACAGGTAGATGCATATATGCCTGTGAGCCATTTGCTCCTTGCATACAATAGGTACTTAATAAAGGCAACTGTTACTCTTACTGTCACACTTCATTTTCCAGCCCCAGGATGAGAATGGAATGTGTCTGTGACTCACCCACCTGTCTGTCTCCCATTTCACAGGTAAGAGAGAGATCCAGCTTTACAGAAGCACTTGAACCCAGGCTTTTCTGAGTTGGGAGCTACAAGGGAGAGTCCCCAGAAGAGGAGGTGGGAATGAGGTTAGGCACTAGGCCCCGGCCTCTCCACCACCCCCAAGCCAGGCAGCTCTCCTCTCTCAGCAGGGAGCCCTTCTTTGTTCAGCTAAACCTAGGGAGTTCCCTACTCTGCATGACCCCTGTCTTTGAGAAACCAGATCACTCTCCCTTCACTGGGCCTAGCCTGTCACCTGTTTTAGGGGGGATGGGGAGAGAGGAGAGAAAAGGCAAAGGCAGAGGCTGGGAGCCCAGGAAGTGGGAGGAGAAGGGGTGGGAGGAGGGTGAGTGACTGCGGAGGAGAAACGGGTGGGGAACAGACGATGCTCATCTTTAGCTGTGGGTTTGGGGTCACTTGAGGTGAGCTCAGCCCTTCCTGCAGAGGTGCTGCCACCCAGAACTGCTGCAAAGCCCTGTCCCATCTTCCAGCCTGGCTTCAGGCCTCCTGCTACACCTCTAGGCTCGGCCCCAAATTCTGGCATTGAGGAGCCCATACTGCTCTGGTTCCCAGTCAGCTCAAAACCAGACTTGGCCCACCTCCTCCCACCAGGCCTGTGCCAGCTAAGCCAAGACCCTCCTGACTGCCCAGCCTAGGACTGGCTGGTCTGGACACACCAGGGAGTGAGGTGTTCTGGGAGATGCACCTTCCTCTAGCATCTGCCCTATGGCGTAGCTTAGGATCTCGGCCATCCTTCTCCTCCTTTTGGCCTCAACTGTCTCCATACCCCCATCTCCACCAGTGGCTGCCAGGCCCTGCCCTTCATGGCTATGTGATTCAGTCATTCCTGCCCCTGCCTTCTGTGTGCCCATCGTGACTCACAGGTCATTGGGAGGAACACGCGTGCCCAAGTGTCAGTGCCTGGCATAGCACTGGCTCACAAAACACATGGAGTCCTAGCCACGGCTGAGCTCCTGCCTTTCCAGACACAGGGAGCAAGGGAGGCCTGCTGCCTGCCCTGTGGGGAACAGAGCAGGGAGCAGAGTAGAGTGGCCACAGAATTCTGAAGTCACAAACCCAACACCTCTCCCATTTCAAAGACAGAGAAGTTGAGGCCTGCACATCTGGAATGACCTATCTCAAAGGTTAGTCAACAGCTAGTAATGTTGACCAACTAGGGCTGGTCACCTCACAGCCCTCATCTCCTTCTCTCAGCCCCCTGCCTCCTTGACAAAGCTGTGTTAGTGCCTCCTGTTCACAGGTGAGGAAACGCACAGGCAACTAGTGCGTGTGGAGTGGGCAGCATGGGCACACATGTCCCTTGACTGCATAGCCCACAGCCTGCACCCGATAGGGCAATCCTGTGTCCACAGAAGGGGCTGTAACACATGGCCCTCCAAGGGCTCCCTGAAAGAGGCTTGGGTAGGGAGACTGGGCTTCAGTTCCTGCACTGCCAAGAGCTACTTTGTGGCCTTGTGTGGCCCATCTTCCTGGCCCCAGATTGGCTATGTAACTCCTCCATGCCAGGAGTGGGGACATGGCATGTTCAGGGGTCATCGAACCCAGACCCCATCCCCCACCAGCACAGCAGAGGTGGGCAGACAGGCAAACAAACTTTCCCAGCTACCCTTCAGACAGCCCAGCCTACTCAACTGCACCCCCCACCCTCACCACTCCAGCCTGATGTGGGACTGGCTGAATTCGGTGGCTAGCTTCTTTGTTCAGACAAGCAGGAGGGAGGAGGAAAGTTGTCGCCCAGACAGCAAAGTTTTTAGATAAACACCACACGGGAATTGGGTTCCTTCAGAGGAGAAACCAGATCCACCAGCTGATAGTGCCCCAGGGACAGAGCACAGCTTGGGGAGTGAGCTCAGGTCCGGCCTGGGAGCCCCGCACTGAAGGGAGCTTTCTCTATCTGGCTGAGCACCTGCTGCCAGCTCTGGCGGGCCTGTAGCTCAGGTGACTGGGACCTGGTGCCAGGCCACACAGCACTGCCAGCTCCCAGGCTCCAGGATGGCCAGGCCCACCTCCTCACCCTCTCCACCACCCGCCTGCCCAGCCGGATCTGCCAGGAAGCTGAGAACTGCTCACCTTGGGGTGACCCTTCCCTTCTGGAGCAGCCTTGCTCCCACGTGGGTGGTGGAGAACTGACAACTGGCTAGTCCCTGAGAGGATGAGCTCCACCCCTGCCTCCCTGGTCAGGTAGATCCAGGAATTACTATGGGCCCATTTTACAGAAAAAAAAACTGAAAATGGTCAGGAGCCACAGAGAAGAGACAGAACTAAGACCCTGCCCCCAACCCCTCAGGCTCAGTGGGACTCACTGGGTCCCCTGACCCCTTCCTAGCGGGGCTCCCAGAGTGGCTCACCGGCGTGGTGTCATCGTGGGAACGCTGGTACCGCTTCCAGCGGCAGCCATAGATGCCCGTGAGGCAGGAGAGGCACAGCTGGGGCTCGTAGTACTGTAGGGGCTGGTGTCTCACCATGCTCGTGCCCGCCGCCCTGGCACCTGGCCCTCAGGCGCCCATGGAGGCCCCTGGCTGGTCCTGTGGGAGGAAGCACAGGGCGTGAAGGGCAGGGAAGGAGAAGTCATTGTAGCCTAGTCAGGGTGGGTCAGCCCTGCTCAAAGCACTGCAGTGGGTCCTGGTCTCACCTGGAGTCAGAGGTCCACCCTGCAGGTCCCCAGGGACCTGTCTGTCCCTTGCCTCCCTGCTATGACCTCATTCTCCCCACTCTTTCACCTACTGATCACCTTCATGTTCTTCCCACTTGCTTGGCATGCTGCTATTTCTTCTGCCAGGCATGCTCTTCTCATAGAAACCTGTGTGGCTCCCTCTTTCCCTTCCTCTCCTCACGTCTTCACTCAAATGCTCTTTCCTCTATGAGATTTTCCTAGATCTCCTTCTGTAAAACTGCACCCTCTTCTCATATTCCCTCAGATCCCTCTCCAAATCTCAGATTTATTTTCTCAATTATGTTCTTAAATATAACTTATTTTGTTTCTTGTCTGCCTACCCACTACAATGTAGTTTTCATGAATACAAGGATTTTTGTCTGTTTTATTCTCTGATGTCTCCTCAGTAACTGGAACAGTGCCTAGCACATAGACTCTCAAAATAAACACTTTAATATAAGTTGTCAGAAAAGCTGACATACACTGAGCACCCAAAATATACCGGACACTGCCTGAACACTTTACATTCACTATTCCAGCTCATCATCATGATCACCCAAAGTGGCATACTATGCCCTAAAGCCACTTGACTGTTCAACAAACTGAGGCTCAGAGAAAGAAAGGGGCAGTGCCTGGCCTGCAGTCATTTAGCTGGGTGTGGTCAATCTGGGAACCTGCTCCAGTGTTTCAAAGTGTTCATTTGTCCAGACACAGGGAACCCCCAGCCCAGTGAGGGTGTGGGAGGATGGTATAGCAACAGCAGGTTCAACTGTCACTGCTGGGAGCAACTCCTCCAGCCTGCTTGATGCCCTAGAGATACCTGCAGAGGGCTCAGCCTCCTGGGGCCCATGTTGGGCAAGCGTGACCAGGTGGCAATTGGCTTGATATACCATGCACGCTCTGAAAGCATCAGGTATTACCGGATCCTTACCACTTCTGTGAAGTAGTTGTTATTATTATTATTCCATTTTTCAGACGAAAAACCCAAGGCTCAGAGAAAAAAATGATTCACACAAAAGTACACAACTATACTGAGGTGTCAGGACAGGACTCAACCCTGGTCTATAGGATTCCAGAAACTTGAAGTCCTTTGTTTTGTACTAGGACCTTTCCTGGACCCTGGAGACAATGTAAGCAGGACACAGTGGCCTGTCCCCTCAATGGCAGCAGGGACTGCTCCAAGCACCTTCTATTCATTCACTCTGACCGCAACCCTATGAAGTATTACCGCTTTAAAACATGAGATATAATTTGCATGCCATAAAATTTACTCCTTTACAGTGTACCTTTCAGTATTTAACATACAATATTCAGTTTTCCACATATTTATGAAGTTATACAACTATCACTAATCTAATTTCAAACCTTTTTATCAACCCCACAAAATCTCCCATATGCATCAACAGTCACTCCCCAGTTGCCCTAGCCCCATCCCCCCCACCTGTGACAACCACTAATCTATTTTCTGTCTCTACAGATTTGCCTGTTCTAGAGATTTCATACAAATGGAGTCATACAATATATGGCCTTTTGTATCTTGCTTCTTTCACTTGGCATAATGTTTTTAAGGCTGATCCATGTTGGAGCATACATCAGTACGCCACTCCTTATGGCTGAATAATATCCAATTGCTTGGATACACCACATTTGAATTAGCCATTCATCAGCTGATGAACATCTGAGTTGATACCACTTTTTGGTTGTTATGAATAATGCTTCCATGAATGAGTTTTTGTGTGAAGATATGTTTTCATTTCTCTTGGGTACATATTTTGGGATAGAATTGCTCAGTCATATGCTCTTGTACATTCAACCTTTTGAGGACCTGCCAAACTATTTTCCAAAGTGGCTGTATTGTTTTACATTCCCAAAGGATTATCATTATCTTTCCATTTTATAGATGAGAAATCTGAGGCACAGAAAGGTTTAGCCACTTACCAAAGGTCACACAGCAGAGCCAGAATTCATACCCAGGCAGTCCGGCTCCAGGGGTCAGGCTGTAACCCAGGGGTTGGCACACTGTAACCCATCGGCCTGCCAAATCTGACCTGTTGCCTATTTTTATACAGCTCACACGCTAAGAATAGTCTTTACATTTTTAAGTCATTGGGAACAAAACCAAAACTATCTTGTGACACATGAAAATTATATGAAAGTCAAATTTCAGTGTCCATAAATAAAGTTTTATGGGGCACAGCCACACTCATTCATTTATGTATTGTCTGTGACTTTTTTAACTGTAACTGCAGAATTTAGTAGTTACCACTGAGACCATATGGCTTACAGAGCCGAAAATACTCACTGTCTGGTCCTTTCGAGGGAAAGTTTGCAGACTCCTGCAAGCACCAGAGTGAGCTAGCATCATTAAGCACAGTGCATGATGGAGGAAGGAGAGGGAGGCTGTGGGCACTGAACAGGATGCAGGGAGGTCAGAGCATGCTTCCTGGGGGCACTGAGCTGAGGCCTGTAAGATGAGCTCCCTAAGATGTCACTCTTTGGTGCCCAGGGGCTGCACTGAAGGGGCACGCTGGGCTTCAGGCCCACTCGGCTTTGTGCCCACTCACTACTTCCACCTCTGGGTGTCACTCAGGGCCTCTGCTTATCCCTCCACTTGCTCCCCCCAGCATCACTGCCAAATGTTAACCTGGCCTCAGCACAGGGTTACAGCCTGCAGCCTGAGCGGAGCTTGCTTTAGGGGCTGGCTGGGAATCTGAATGCCCCTGAGACTCCTAGGTGCTAGAAAGAGTGGTACAGCCTCTGTCCCAGGGAGCACTGGAGAGGCTTGTGGAATACAGGGCAGCTGCTGGGGCCTCTGAGCTGAGTCCAGGGGGCAGGATAGGGTGGGGGTACTGCTGCAGTTGGCTTAGTTCCCATGGGCTTGGGAGGCTGGGGATGGGGCAGGGGATGCTCTCAGCTTTACTATACTCCAGAGGATTCAGAGAGCTTTGTGTGCCCACATAGGTACTCTCACATTCACAGCCTTTTGGAGAGGGTAGAGGGCCAAAGCCCACAGCCAGGGAGCCACATCTCCCCATGTAAACCCTCAAGATTAGGGCTGCTGCTGTCATGTCAGCCACCACATGTGCCCTCACCTCCCCAGGAAGTGAGGAGGCAGCCAAAATGCGCAAAGGAAACTGGAGTCATCCTGCCTCTCTCCCTTCCCTTTCTCTCTTTCTCTCTCTCCCTCTCCCTCCCTTCCTTCCTATCTTTCTTTTTTCTTTCTTTCTTTTTCTTTTTTTAGACAGAGTCTCACTTTGTTGCCCTGGGTAGAGTGCCATGGCATCACAGCTCACAGCAACCCCAAACTCTTGTGCTCAAAGGATCCTCTTGCCTCAGCCTCCCAAGTAGCTGGGACCACAGGTGCCCACCACAACACCTGGCTATTTTTTTTTTTTTTTTTTTTTTTTTAGTAGAGACAGTGTCTCACTCTGGCTCAGGTTGGTCTCAAACTCCTGAGCTCAGACAGTCCACCCAACTCAGGCTCCCAGAGTGCTGGGATTACAGGCGTGACCCACAGCGCCAGCCTTGCTTTCTGAATCTGCAAAGGGAGTGACAGCCTTTGCCTTGACTTCTACAGAACACTTGCCTGGGGGCAGGGAGGAGGAGTGGGCCAGGCAGGTGCATCACTGCAGTGACTGAGCTACGGCAGAAGGACATTCTGCAAGTAGGTGGCGCCACCACAGTCCCCTGCTGGCACATTCCCTTCCCAGGCCCCTGGCCCTGGACTGGTTCTTAGCCAGCCTCTGCCTGCCCCTCCCCCAACCCCACCACTGAGCACACAGTCTACTCAGGAATGGAAATTCTACCTCAGACCCTGAAAAGAGGGAAGTAGAACTGTGTGCGTCATGCCTCGGTCTGGGACTCAGGTGATTCTGGCTCTTGGAGTCTCTTCTCCCCCAGGTGAATTCTCATTCTGCTCCTAACTGCAGGGGCTTCCTGGCAAGGCAAACCTCTTTTCTTTCCTCTGTATGTTCTTCTGGCTGGGGCCATCTCATCTACTCCCACGGCTTTGTTATGAGGCACTGCCAAGGCCACCCAGTTTCTGCCTCTGCCAGAGATAGCGAGCAGCACTTGGTTATCCAGGGGTGTCACCTGGGCCCTCTGCAGCCACAGCTAGGCCACAATGACCTCACAACCTTCAACCTGCTGCTAATGCCCCTTGGCCACTCCCCTGGTCTAGGTCTCATCTGGACTCTCTACAGTCTGTCCTGTCCCTCCAGTACAAACTGTCACTTGCAGACAGAATGAACCTTTATTTTAAGAGACAAAGTCTTTAGTAAAGTATCACAAGAACGGAAAAGCAACTATCCAATGTATTCAATACTAATGTGAAGCCATTAAACGAACTAATACACATCCACACAACAGAAAAACTCAATTTAATTTAAGTTGGGGGGTGGGAGGGGAATTAGTGTGCTCTCACCTAATGGGCACAACGTAAGGGTATATGACACACCCCCTGGGTGAGGTGCCCAACCATAACATGGACCTTATCTAACAAACGCAAACATTGTAATCATTTGTACCCTCATATTAATCTGAAATTTAAAAAAAGATAGAGACAAGGTCTCGCTCTGTGACCTGGGCTGGAGTATAGTGGCATCATCATAGCTCACTGCAAATTCTAACTCTTGCATTCAAGTGATCCTCCTACCTCAACCTCCTGACTGGGACTACAGGTGCATGCCGCCATGTTTAGCTAATTTTGAAAAATATTTTTGTACAAATAAAGTCTCACTGTGGTGCCTGGGCTGATCTCAAACTCCTGGCCTCAAGTTATCATCCCCACTTCGGCCTCCCAAAGTGCTAGGATTATAAGAGTGAACCACTGGTAGCCCAGAAATTTTGGATAGGCAAATGACCAGGTCTGAC